GAAGCTTTACAAGCTGATTCTTCTTTGCTTAGTTTCCTTCTTGGATGCAGCCTGTGTCTGGGCCTGAGATAGCACAGTGACTTGCTGTGGGACACACACAATCACCTGTGTGTAGACAGACTCCATAGCTCCTGGTTTTCTCTCTCGTGGCTACAATCAATCAATCTGTAAACATTTATTAAACATCTACTATTAATAAACAGCTACAGTCAGGCATTGGACTGGGTGCTGAGGATAAAATAAATAAAATGAGATGATCCTTCTCTTCAAAGGGTTTACATTCTATTGGAGGAGATAACATGTATACATACATATACACACGTAATATATAATATACACACGTACACACACATATATACAACATAAATAGAAAGCAAGTTTTTTTGGTAGGGCATTTAGCAGCTTCTTTTCAAAGGGTTTACATTCTATTGGAGGAGACAATATGTACTTTATACACACATATGTATATATACGTGTGTATGCATTTACATACACAAAAATAAAGTAAAACTTTTGGTAGGGCATTAGTAGCTGGGTGGATCAGGGAAGACTGCCAACATGCATTACACAGAACAAATCTGGAGGGCATTGTGAAGGAGCATTAGGCCCTGTAGCCAAGCCACCACAAGCTCCCTGGAGCCCTAACCTGCTCATTTACTACCATGTCCTCTCGCAGACTATGCTGTAAATCTCACCAAGTTTGGATCCCCTGATGTCTACATGCAAACACTCACTTCTCTAGATGTTTTCTCTTCTCTGATACAGGCGTGAAAGGAGCCTCTTCTGCTTCTCTCTGGCGTGTGGTTGTGGCTAGGTTCTCCTCAGAGAGGTTTCCTCTCTCCCCTTTCCCTCTCTCCTTCCTGTCATGCACTGTCTTACCTTAAGCCCTGGCTTGCACAAATAAAGATTGGCTTCCTGGGCGAGGGCCTCTTAATGATTCCAGTAATTCTCCCTCTCTTCCATCAGGGTCAGGGTTCACCTGCAGGTTTCTGATCTCCTTCAGCTTAAGAATAAATGAATGAAAAACATTTATTAAGCATTTACCATGTGCAAAGCTCTGTGTTAAGTGCTGGGAGATATAGAAAAGTAATCCATTCCATGCTCTCAAGAGCTCATCATCTTTTAAAATTTTTTTAAATTTTAAAATTTTATTTTTAAAAGAGCTCGTCTTCTAATGGAGGAGACAACATATGTAAGAAGTTTCACCTGTGAGTCATATGGAAAGGTCCCTTGGTTCTCAGGATGAATTGGCAAAGCAGTTGGCAATGTATCTTCTTTATTGTTATTTTCACTGATAAAACCATATCATTTTCTGATGTTGCACTATTTGATGGTCACAAGGATTTTAGTGGCAAAAATTTTTTTTTAGGGCCTTAAACAGCTGTGGCTATAGCACCTCCAAAAGTGGTTGCCAAGGGTCTGAACCAGGATTGCTTTCCAGGATGATGGCTGCTGGGGCTGGTCTGGAAGCAAGGCTGATAGCCTTTGGGGATGGAGTGGGAGGGATGACATCCTGATCCTATGAACACATTGCTTGGTGCAGGGGTAGAATTAGAACCCAAACCTTCACTTCTGGCTCTCTGACATGGTTGGCTTCCTGGACAATTTGCCCTATGTCTTGTATTGCTCTCTCTATGCTAATTTGCCTTCCTTGTGATAGTTGGGTTTTAAATCCAGGTGCCATCATTAACCTACATTCATTTTCATTTATAAAATTATGTGGGCCTTTATAGCACACTTGCAAAAACAAATAAATCCCTGCCTCACATGACTCAATTTGTTGTTGTAACCTGACACTTCTGTGTCATAATCACCTTTCTCTCAGATGGTTATGGCTATAGCTGTTAGGAATTTATTAGAGGCATTTTATAATGTGCTTTACAAGATGTTGTTTGAGGCTGTGCTTTGTTTATGAGTGTGTGTGCGTGTGTGTGTGTGTGTGTGTGTGTGTGTGTGTGTGTGTGTGTGTGTGAGCGCACACACGCACACACAGGCATACGTATGCCAGGGTGTATTCGAAGAGGACTGATCAACAAGAACTTAATTCTATGTAACTAGGTGGTTAGTGTATTTCAGGGTGGTTTTAATTGAATTTAACTCTTTTTCATTCCTCCCCCAGTCCAAACCTTAATGTAGCTTAAAAAACTTTGATCTCTCACTTGTGTAATATTATTGATCTTCTGAGGCATGTGTAGGGGTGCAGACATCAAGGAGATTTTAAGATAAGACTGGGGCTAGTGGGACTTTTATAGCTGGTGAAATCAGAAAACTTCATTTTAGGGCTGAACTTTGTACATTTCTCTCTCTCTCTCTCTCTCTCTCTCTCTTCTCTCTCTCTCTCTTTTCTCTCTCTCTCTCTTTTCCTCTCTCTTCTCTCTCTTCTCTCTCTCTCTCTCTCTTTTCTCTCTCTCTCTTCTCTTTTCTCTCTCTCTCTCTTCTCTCTCTCTCTCTCTTCTCTCTCTCTCTCTCTCTCTCCCCCCCCCCCAGAAGGGGGCAAATAGAAGGAATTTCGTGGTCACTGCTTCTTTCTGGGCATAAATGTGGGTCCACGAGAAGTTTGCTCATCCCTTCCTGAGAGGAATATAGAAAGTATAATTTGGGGAATCCAAATGAAAAGTCATAAAGTAAAGTAAAAGGTGACATTTTCAAAGGCCATTTGGTCCATTCTTCTGCTTCCTATTCAAAGAACACATAAATAAGTTAAATCTTTTAACAACTCTTTTATTGATAACCTTTTAAAAAATCAACTATAGGGCAGCTTTTTATTTTCATCAACACAGAAAATATATGTGATTTAAAGGATGCAAAGGTGTACATGAACAAACATACAAAAATGAAATACTTGTTACACTCATTATACTACTCCCACCAAAGGTGGGACCTTTTGTGGGATTGCTGAATAGATATTCACATTCACCTTGGACATGGATGTTGGTCCTCTGGGAAATTCACAAATATGGTGGTTTAGAAAGGTCTAGAAATCCCAGTCAGCCATGGCATAGCTTTGGTTCTCCAACTGCAGGACAATTCTCTTGGTGGTGGTCCTTTGCTTTGAGAGGCATTATGTTAAGAAAATTTTTTCACTCTGGTCTGCTAGTGATCTACTCAGGAAGTCAGGGACTCTGGAACTCATGAGCTATCCCCACGGTTGGAAATGTTTAGTTCTCAGGATCACTGGCTGATGATCTATGCTGAGAAAAGTAAGTGAAGAAGGCAGCCAAGAAATGTCCAGTCCAGGGACCCAGGTCCCAGGCTTAGTGGGCAGTCTCCCACCACTGTGTGTGTGCTTCTAACTTAAACAGTTGTTGCCAAAGGGAAGGAGGCTGAAAGAAATCCTTTCTTTTCTCTTGGCTGTACTCTGGTCTAAAAGCACCCCCTGCTAGTACCCCCCCCCCCCACTTTACCAAGAGGCAAGAGCTGCATTTCATTTTCAGGTTTCTGGAACTAAGATTGCTCATCACAATCAATCAGAGTTCAGTTTGGTCTTATTGTTCTTTTCATTTACATTATTGCATTCATTGGGTATATTAGCATCATAGGTTTAGATTTATTCATGAGCATGTCATATCCCCCAGTAGAATATAATCTTCTTGCAGTCAAGAACTATATTTCTTTGTTATCCTCAATGAATAGCATAAAGCCTTACACATAGTATGTGCTTAATAAAAATCGATTGAATCGAATTTATTTATTTATTTATTTATTTTTACATCAGGAAGCAGCTTGGGATCGCTGAATGCATGTAGAAATGTCCAAACATAGACCAGTGTGCTTTCTTCCTCCTTTACTTTTGTATCCAGATTGTTGCTCCAGCACCCATAGTGCTTATCCAAGATGTATAAAATGATGGACTGACCTTAGAGGCTGCCATCTACCTGCAAGTCATAACCTAATAGGCATTTGTCATTCACTTGGCTCTTCCAGGGTGGAAATTGGGCAGACTTGTTTTTGTAGTGGTGGATCTCATTGAGGAAGTCATGTAGAGTTCAGTGGCTTGATGCAATATTATTTATAAATAGGAGAGCCTCCTTACCTAAAAAGAATCCATTCCATTTGGAATAAGAATAATAGCAATAGCTAGCATTGCTATAGCACCTACTATGTAAGTGCTTTACATATATTATCTCATTTGATCCTCACAATAATACTATAAACTAAATGCTATTAGAAGCCCCATTTTATAGTTGAGGAAACTGAGGCAAACAGCAGTTTAGTCATATAGCATCTGAGGTCAGATTTGAACTCAGATCTTCCTGACTCAAGGCCCAGAGCTTTAACCATAGCACTGTCTAGCTGCTTCTGTACAGGACATCATTTATGACAGTGGTGAATACCTTTGTCAGGCATATGTTTCTCCTTTTAAATGCATTGATAGATTGATAATGAGGATTGTGAGCAAAGTTATATCCCATCCCATCACATGGAGAGTTAACAGAGCTGTGCCTGGGCTGAGGATGTGGTTGTCAGGTGACTAGGGGATGGAAGAAGAAGTCAACATTGCAAGCAGGTATTGAGGGCAAGCAGGGAAAAAGCATTTATTAAGTGCTTAATATGTGTAAGGCCTTATGCTAAGCTTTGGGAATACAAATAAAAGCAAAAAGAAACAGTGTCTTCCCTCAAGGAGCTTACATTCTAATGATATCATTAAGCTAATCTTAATAATATCATTAATAATATTGCATCAAGCCACGAAGTTCTACATGACTTCCTCAATGAAATCCACCACTATGAAAACCAGTCTGCCCAGTTTCCACACTGGAAAAGCCAAGTGGGTGACAAATATCTCTCAGGCTATGACTTGCAGGTAGACGGCAGCCTCTGGGGTCAGTTCATCATTACGTACATCTTGAATAAGCACCATGAGTGAGCAATACATAAAAGAGAGTTTAAAGAGGGAGAGTGAAGGAGGAAGGGTAGAAGTAGGGAGAGAAGGAAGCTGCCATTTTATGAGGTGATAAGGCTCATAATTTTCCACTCTCCTCTGTGTCATTTTATAAAAGCACAGTGGTCAAGTCTGTGGGATCAGAAACACATCTGGAAGGGGAATGAAGTGAAGCTGACTGGGGCCTGTCCCCAGAATGGAGAATCTCAGAAGGAACTCACAAGTAGGAGGAGACTGGCATGCTGGAGGGAAATTCCAAGGTGAGGAGGTGGCTGAATCATGGTGGCAAAGTCCTGGAGAGTCAAAAACATAGTCTGGAGATGAGATGACCCAGACAGCACCCTTCTGCCCATCACACCACAGGCACTCACCCAGACTCTGAGCCCATTGGTTTCTTTCTTAGTACTTTCTTTCCTGTGTGGTGACTACCCAGAATTGTGTGGATCAGATATTTGCTTCTGCCTGGTTTTGGTCATCACAGCTCCCCATATCCTGATACTGCTTCATGGGAACCGAGACACTGTCAGGGGTCTGCCACCTCTGGGACAAGCTCCACAAGTAGGGGTCATCTGCTCCCACCTTAACTTCACACCCACTCAATTGTACTATTATCTCTTGTCTTCCTCATCTTTCTCCATCTCTTCCACAACTAGTAAAGAAGACTTGGTCAAATGCTTCTCCCAAATCGAGGTAAATTGCATTTACACATTTCTCTGATCTACCAGTTTGGTAATCCTATTGAAAAAACAAAAAAAAAAAAAGGAAATGCTGTTGGGCATGACCTGTTCTTGATGAAGCCATATTAGTTCTATGTTCTGTCACAAACAAACCCAGGGTCTGGATCTTACCATCTCACCTAAACCACAGTTTAATCACGTGTCAGTAGGACTTAATGACACTCTTTCTGCACCCCTGGGGGATCAATCATGATTACATATTATTTTGGGCTGGGCCTGACTCAGATCACTTCCCTGGTAGTTGAGGTTCAATATTGGAACCAAACTGAACACTGGTACAGATCATTCAACAGTTAACAATAGGAGATTTACTTAGCCATAGCAGAAGGATATGCAACAAGGATAGTATGAAGGACAGCTTGCATTGATTTAACTGAATGAGGCTCTTTTGCCTGAGTTACCCATACTGATCCACCAGCCAAGCATCAGAGAGAGAGCACCTGGAGCACCTCATGGTTGTTTTGTATTCGGGCAACCAGGAAGTGATGTCGACAGCTTAAGTCTTTATTCCCCTGAGCCAACCAAGTCTTGAGGATGTTTTCAAAACCTTTTAAAGAAAAATTGGTCTAACTTGCATAGGGTTGGGGGTTAGGATATCACTTCTACTACAGAAATGTTGGCCTGGATATTCCAGCTTTTCAACAATAACGCTGCCTTTCCTTGGGAATTCTCAAGCTTAAAGGCCAATGCCAAATCAGTAACCACAGAGGGGTAAATCTATATTAATGCAAGCTTTGGAAATACCACGTTGGCTAAGACTTCATTTTTTTCTACTGAGTCAAATGCTTTAAAATTTCCTTCCTTCCTTCCTTCCTTCCTTCCTTCCTTCCTTCCTTCCTTCCTTCCTTCCTTCTTCCTTCCTTCCTTCTGTTTTTAGGAGAGGAAGTTTGGTATAGAACAGAGCTCCCTCAAAGATTTAATAATTACATTGCTTTCAGCATAGATTCCTTCTACATGTCCTCAATCTGGTAAAACTGATGGTGCCACCTTCATCTTCCTTAGTACTATTTCCATTCCCTTATATAGCATAGCAGACATAAAGATTCTAGAGTCAAACTGTGATGGTTCTCTCCTCATTAACGAGGAAAATAATTTATTACAACAATGCTGATGGATATGTTCCACTTTTTTGTCCGTTTGTTATTCTTCCAGTCTCATCTTTAAGGGGAGCAAGAATTTTGCTTCAATGATGGGAATGTCAACAGAGGACTTATTGCCTATACCTTTCTCCTCGCCAGTATTTTAGCAGCTTCTTGAGTATTATTAAAGCTTGAAGCCAATTTGCAAAGCAAGGCAGGATGGGAGGATCAACTAAGAAATGTGAACCAGATTAAAATGTAAGTGAGAAATGTTGAAGAAAATAAGTAAAGATATAATACAACATAGACAATGTTAATTTGTGGTTCTCTAAGTCAAACTACCACAGGGAGGGATATCAGTACTCTTTCTGTTTGGCACCACTGGTATCCTGGATAGAGAGCCGTCTTTGGAGTCAACTTCAAGTCCAATCTCTGCCCCTTATTGGCTATTTGTCTTTAAGTAAGTCATTTAATATTTTGGTGTCCCAGGCAATTCTCTGAGATTCTAGCAAGTTATAGAAAAAGCACTGTTCTACTTTTGTAGAAGACTTTACTCATCTGAAGCTTCCTACACCAAGAAATTATAGTTCTGATACCAAAAATATGTTTTATCATATGTATATACACACATATTTAAAAGTAAGTTTTATAGATACAGTTTCTTTTTACATCACAGCCATTTAGAAATAATAGTAATAATTACAATAGCTAATTTTTACATTGCTCCTCCTACTACATTCCAGGCTCTTTGTTCAGCACTTTACAATGATTATTTAATTTGATTCTCTCAACAACCCTGGAAGATGGGTGTCATTATTATCCTCATTTTGCAGGTAAAGAAACTGAGGCAAACAGAAGTGAAATGATTTTCCCAGGGTCACACTGCTAGTAAGTGTCTAAGGCAGGATTTGAACTCAGGTTTTTCTGACTCTAGGTCCGGCACTCACTTAGATGACCAAAAGCCTTCCACATCTGCCAGTGAAAACTCTTGTAAAAAAGAAAAGCAGATAAGCCAAACCTATGAGCTAGTTTGATAGCATATGTAACTATGCTACCTCATTTTTTTTTTCTGTACCTCTCAGGCAGTTGTATGACTGTGAAGAAGGAATCAACTGTAGAAAGATAAGTTGCCTGTTTCTCACATTTCCATGAAGGATATTCTCAACACATTCATTGACAAGTCTCATAAAGGTTTTATAGAGATGAAAAAGTAGGCTCTTGGGAGGATCTGGTTTAGTTGGGTCTGAGGCCAAGCTTTTTCTGCAAACTGGTTTTCTCTTCTAACATTCTTGGCCTTTTTGTGACATCGTAATTTTTAGAATTTGAGGTGACATCCCTTGTAATTTTCCACCCTCCTTTTCTGTGTCACTTTATGAAGAAGTTTATATTCTAAATCAGGCATTTTTAACCTAATATTTTGATAACAATAATTCAATATAATCAGTTTCCATTGTAATCTTATATATTTTATTTTATGAACTAAAAATGTTATTCTGAGAAGGGATCCAGGCTTCATGAGGGCTTTATCTCCCAAAAAAGGTTAAGATCCCTGGTTTGAAATACAAAGTTGCCATTTGATTTTGAAATCAAAGCTGGCCCTTTTATTGTCATGGACATTGTTTGTTGGCTGAAGTTGTTTTGGGGCTTGTGGCAGACATTGCTTTCTACCAGTTAAACTTCTCTGGGGAATAGTGGTAATCAGAATCAGCATTTTTTACTTTATCTGTTGGGTCCCAACTCACCAAAAAAAGGCCCAGTTAAGCCAATTCATTCCAAGAACATTTTCTAGAAACGTTTCGAGGCTTTCCCACTCCAAGTGGGAGTTCTCAAGATCTGCTCATGTTCACTGTGTGTTGTATGTATACTCTTGGCAGGAGCCCTCATCCAGGGCAGCTTCCACTAACAGGCAAGGAAATTTGCCAGAAGTCCAATGATGGAGCATTTCATTGAGCAATACCAACAAAACATAACTAGCAAGAGAACCTTTGCCATGAAGTATTTCTTAATACTTCTTAACTCATGGAAAATAATTCCCCTCACAAATTGCTACGCCAATGGGAAGATCAGAACAAATGCCAGTTTTTCTGTTTTCTGCAGTCTCCCTATCCTACTGGGACCTTCCACATGGGGGAGGTGGTGACTCATGCTCTGGAGACCCTTGAAGAGGACTACCTTTAGTTGTTTCTGAAACACCTCTCTGGGCATCTCACCAAGTTGTCATCAGAACAGCTCTCCAAGGCTGTTCCTTGCCTTTTCATCTCCCTTTTGGCCAAGCCCTCCCTCTGCCTCCATCACTGGCAATCATAGCTTCATATCTGACATTCCATCTTGACATTCCTCCCCAACCCTAGGAGGATTTGTTTTTTTGTTTGTTTGTTTTTGTTTTTTGCTTTTACTTCTAGTAAGCGATCTTTTCCTGCTTAGACTGAGTGTCTGGCAGGTATTGTTTCATATTTTAGGTTTAAAAAATTTTTTTTTTTAGTCAAGATGCCTGGGCTTCAGACCTAGGTGAGTGTTATTAATCTTTTAGAGGCAGACGGCCTAGGCCATGCGCCTGAATAGCCTGGGAGCTATTCGTCACATATTTTGGTTTATCTTTTTCACCTTTCTTACATCTTTATTTGGTAAGAGCCAAAGTACTCCTTAGGTAGACACTATAAGTTACTTCCTCATCTTTCTTCACAGAGCCTCTCTGGTCATGACTCCTATCTGGGCTAGGCTAAGTGACTTTCTTTTCATTCTTCTGTAACTCAGAGGGAAGGTAGTGTGTTCTGCTCACTTTCTCTTATACTGTGGTTTTTTGAGGCTAAAGATCATACATCTCTTAGCTGATCCTTTCACTTCCCATCCTGTCCTGCTTTGCAAATTGATCTCAAGCTTTAATAATACTTAAAGAGGCACTAAAATACTGGTGAAGAGAGGGATATAGGCAGCTAGTCCTCTGTTGGCATTCCTGTCATTGAAGCAAAACTCTTGCTCCCCTTAAAGAGGAGAGTGTTAAAAGAACAAGCAGACAAAAAAGATGGAACAAAGCTGTCAGCATTTTTATAATAAATTATTTTCCTCATTAGTGATGATGGAAATGTTACAGTTTGATTCTGGCATCTTTGTGCCTGATATGCAGGAAGACCTGATTTCAAATCCTGCCTTAGATATTTCCTTAACTGTATGACCCAAGGCAAGTCATATAACCTCCTCCAGCCTCAGTTTCCTTATCTGTAAAATGTGGATAATAATAGCATCTGTTTCACAGAGTTGTTAGGATCATGTGGGATAACATATGTAAAGTGCTTTGCAAACCTTAAAATGCTGTGTAAATGCTAGCTAACTCTCATTAAAATAAAAAAGGAACATCTGAGTTTTCACAAATGATTTTCTATAGAAGACCATATATTCAGTTACACAATTGTCCAAGAGGTGTGGGGAATTGAAGAGCCATTTGAGTTTAATTTTTATGGCTGCAAGACATCATTTGATTTGGTAGAACAATATATAGTCAGAGAGGTGTCTCCTTGACATATATTAATATTATTGCAGAGTTTCTGAGAAATACAATTGCAAGACAATTTTGTTCAATGTTCTTCTGGTATATTTCAATTCAATAGACATTCATTAAGTACCCACTATGTGCAGAGGCAGTTAGGTGGTGTAGCGGATAGAGTGCCAGACGTGGAGTCAGGAAGACTTAACCTTCCTGAGTTCAAATCTGGTTTCAGATACTTACTAGCTGTATGACCTTGGGCAATCACTTAGCCCTCTTTGCCTCAGTTTCCTCCTCTGTAAAATGAGCTGGAGAAGAAAATGGCAAACCACTCCAGTATCTTTGCTAAGAAAAACTCAAGTGGAGTTGCAAAGAGTCACACACGACTGAAATGACTGAACAACAACAACATGAGCAAAGCAATTTGCTAGGTGCTGGTATTACAAAGACACAAAATTAAATAATCCTGGTCCTTAAGAAGCTTACATTCTTCTGGCAGATTATTGAATCTGTTTGCAGATGGATATGTACAAGGATAACTAACAACTGGAGAATTCAGAGAAACCTTCATGGAGGGATTGACACCTGAGTTACGCTGAAAACAAAGAGGATTCTGAGAGGTGGACGCGAAGACAAGGGAGATACTGCAGCACGGGGTACAACTTGTGCAAATGTGAAGGAGTAGGAGATGGCATGCCAAATTTAGGAGAGGGTTGGATATGTAGTCCATTGTGGCTAGACTGTAAGTATATGGAGAGTAAATGTAAACAGGACTGGAGTGGTAGGTTAGATTTAGATTAAATGCCCAATTAAAGAGTTTGTAGATGACTTGCCCTGGATCACATAGCTAAGAAAGTGTCTGAAACAGGATTTGAACTCAAGTCCTCCTGACTCCAAGTCTGGTGTTCTACCTTCTGCTTCACCTAACTGCTTATTTTTATCAAAGTTACAAAATAAATGTGTATAGAACATTCTTATAAAATTTTATAGAAAGGAGAAAATAAATATATGAATTAGTAGATGAAATGGCAAGGCATCAAAGACTTTTGAGAAATGGAGTGACATGGTTGGAACATGAGGATTATTTAGGCAACTGTGTGGGGGATGGTTTGGACAGGGGAAAATCTGGAAACAAGGGTGACTAAATTAGGAAGTTGATATAAGGTGTTAAGAGTCCAAGTTAGGATTGTAACCATTAAAAGGGGGATGGATCAGAGAAAAGATGGAAATTGACTTGACCACTGATTTATCTATCTTGGGGGTAGGTGAGAAAGAGGGAAGAGCCCAGCAATTAAGCATTTACTAAGTACCTTCTATGAGCCAGGCTTGGTGTTGATATAAGTACAAAGAATGAGACAGTCCCTATGAACAAGAAGTACACATATATGTATACTCCCTTTCTGTCTCCCTCTCTCTCTGTCTCTCTCTCTCTCTCTCTCCCCCCATTTAAACATGTAGTTTATACATACATGTAAATAAATATGTACGTATATATTTATATACATATATTGAATAATTACAACTATTCAGGGATTAGTTAAATACGAGGTCATTTGGGAAGGAGGGTAGTAGTCATTAGAGGTATCAGGAAAGTCTTCATGCAGAACATAGTCCTTGAGATGTACTTCAAAGGAAAAGAAAGATTTTATGAGGCTGAGGTAAGGAGGGAGTATATTCTGGCAATGTGAGGTGGCCAGTGAAGGGAGATGCAATGTCATGTGTGACGACAGGGAGAAGATTGACTCACAGAGTTTGGGAAGGGGAATAATGTGCAATGAGT